CAAAAATTGCACAATAAATATATATATATATATATATATATATATATATATATTATATATATATATATATATATATATATATATATATATATATATATATATATATATATATATAAATATATATATATATATATATTATATATATATATATATTTATATTATATTATTTTTTTTTTTTTTTTTTTTTTTTTTTTTGAAAAGCCTCATGTCTACGGGAAAATGAAAGCAAAAAAATCTCTTTCATTAATATTCCAAAATTTTCAATTGATGTTTCATTTGTATCGATTAAATTTAGTGAAGCCAAACTTAATGGTGCAAAAAATTTTCGACTTTCCCAGCTATACCCGAGACTAAAATTTTTATTAATAGCCTTTAAGATGCGTATCTTAACTTCTTAAGACTAAGAAGAGCAAATAACCATACATTTTTGCTGGAAAAAAATTTTGGGTGGGGGGCTGGGGGGGCAGGAAGGGGGGGCAAGACAACCTCAAAATTTTCATTCCCCAAAAGGAAAGGTCAACCAAAGTTAGCAAATTCTTAGAAGCATTAGATTAGCTAAACTACTGCAACAATATTAATTCGTTAGCTTAGATATGTTTTATAAATTGCATATTAAAACTTTATACAACATTCGGTGTTTGTCTTGACGATGCTGGAAGACATGTTATCGTCATCATTTTTGGGGGGATACTTTAAATAGTTATTATATATGTCACACTCGCACACAGGAGACGACTGGACATTTCAAGACTGGTAAACCAAATTGTCTTCAATATGTAATGGCAGACAACTCAAACATTTTGTACATATTATTTCCATTCCTGAGTTCCACTGAAGTGTTTGTGGTGTCCCACATTCCAGTTTTAAGTCTAAGGGCCATAATTAGTATCATAATTAGTATCATAAGAGCTAGTTTGAGAATCGTTGTGTTATTATTTTCACAAGTTTGTTTTTGTAATTGGGTTTAAGTGTAGGCAATTTGCATATGAAACGTGTTATATAGAGTATGTTCCCCATTATTTCCTGACTGATAAAACATAAAATGATATCACTTTATTATGGTAGTATATGGAAGGTCTCAGTCTCATGTCAGACGAGGAAGTTAAGTTTTATCAGACTTGAAACACTGTTATCTACATGGACTCTGCCGTCAACCTTGTCATTTTTTTCTTGGTCTGATGGAAGACAGTCAGGAAGATGTTGAAGTTGTCTTCCCAGCAGGAGATCTCAGTCAGTGCTGATCGTGGTCCAGTCAGTGCTGGTCGTGGTCCAGTTAGTGCTGGTTGTGGTCCAGTCAGTGCTGGTCGTGGTCCAGTCAGTGCTGGTCGTGGTCCAGTCAGTGCTGGTCGTGGTCCAGTCATTCTTGCTTATATGGTGCTCTTTGTCTTCAAGATTTTCAATTTATAGTTTACCCAGATGTGTAGTGGACTTTACACACAGTATATTATAGCCTTTGTACAGTATTATACATATATATTTATATATTTATATATATATATATATATATATATATATATATATATATATATAAATATATATATATATATATAGTGATATTGACGTTAACAAATGTCTTGAGTGGTTATTAATTACATTTATAAGTGAATGTAGCATGGAGCCAGAGAGAGAGGAAGTGTAGTGAAGTGTCAGCCTGTGCTAAGTGCTTCATGTCTACACTTCCCACGTAACTTGCTCATTAAGTTATTAAACATTGGTTTGTTGACTGTACTGTAACCTTGCTAGCGCTCACTAACTTTCAGATGTTTGTAATTTAAGTGAGCTGCCATTACTCGGTGTGATGTAAAAAATTGTGTTATTATATTAATGGGTTTTTCATCCATGGACACTGTTGTTATGTATTTTTTTTTTTTTTTTTTTTTTTTTTGGGGTTTTTATTAGAGCTTACCATCACATCAAGACCTGATTTTTGATATATTTTTTTTAGTGATTGGTTGGAAGGTCTTAGTCAGAGGAGGAAAAGTTCCAGTTAGGGAAAAGAGAATATGATTAACTTTTATGGAAATACTTGTATTCTTTCCTGACAAACAAAACACCGCCCTCGACCATCAGTGGAGCGACTCACAGTAACATTCACTCTGGGGAGAAAACTCTAGAGTCTTGATAAATTAGACACATGTGCAACACTTGGGTATCTTTATAGAGTAAACGTTTCGTCATACAGTGACTTCATCAGTCCTATGCAGAGAAGAATGGTAAAGATCAGAAGGAGTTTGAGGTAGTCAGTCCCTCAGCCTGGAGTCCATCAATCTTTTCAAGACTTATGGACTGATCACATCGACTCCAGGCTGAGGGACTGACTACCTCAAACTCCTTCTGATATTCACTCTTCTCTGTATTAGACTGATGAAGTTACTGTGTGGCGAAACGTTCCCTCAATAAAGATACCCAAGTGTTGCCCATATATCTAATTTATCAACTTATCGATTCTCTGAACCATTTATCTACAACTCTAGACAATATTTCGGTCCGTTTTGGACCATTTTCAAGCCACAACTACAGTGGCTTGACAGTTTTCCACAACACAGTAACATCGTATAAAAAAATTCTAAGTTTGTTTATTTAAGAATATACTATATTAATCAATGTTTTTTTCCGGGGCATATAGACAATAACTACATAAATCCTTTATTGTGGTATCCAGTGGTAATAATAACTACTGAGTAGTGTACGTTCATCGCTCAATCTCCCCACTGAAGATGGTAACAACTGAGACGAAACAAGACACCGTGAGATGTGAATGCACCTACAGCTAAGAGTATCACTGAAACCTGCTTCAGTTTCAGTAGTACAAGTGAAACTCACACTCCACCACACTCAGGAAACTAAGAAAATCTAAATATGATACCTGGAGTATACCTGGAGAGGGTTTCGGGGGGTCAACTACCCCGCGGCCCGGTCTGAGACCAGGCTCTGATACACAAAAAACCCACAGCTCTTCCTTTTCCTCACTCATAACTAAACCAATTTTTGCCGTGATGTTACCCTAAGATGATTATTAATAAATTTATCTCTAGGCTGTTGTTTCCTTTATCCATTTGAGTGACGACAGATTCTGCTGTGGGCGAAACGTTACCCAGGAGAGTGAAAAAATCTATTTGATTTACTAACCTCTACTACCACGCCTGGATAGTACACGATAGTCGTCAGTCTGTGTGGAAGACGATAGTTCTTAATAGCAGGTTGTCTCAGTGTAGACTTCCAAGATTTCTGTTACCTCTCTACTGTACTCTCATGCACTCTTACGTACTCTCATGTACTTCCACGTGCTCTCAAGTACAACTTTCAGAACAGGTTTATAGAAGTACTACGTTTCACTCTGTGTAGAGCTTTGTCAAGTCATGTTTCACTCTGTGTAGAGCTTTATCAAGTCATGTTTCACTCTGTGTAGAGCTTTATCAAGTCATGTTTTACTCTGTGTAGAGCTTTATCAAGTTACGCTTCACTCTGTGTAGAGCTTTATCAAGTTATGCTTCACTCTGTGTAGAGCTTTATCAAGTTATGCTTCACTCTGTGTAGAGCTTTATCAAGTCACCTTTCACTCTGTGTAGAGCTTTATCAAGTCATGTTTCACTCTGTGCAGAGCTTTATCAAGTCATGTTTCACTCTGTGTAGAGCTTTATCAAGACATCTTTCACTCTGTGTAGAGCTTTATCAAGTCATGTTTCACTCTGTGTAGAGCTTTATCAAGTCATCTTTCACTCTGTGTAGAGCTTTATCAAGTCATCTTTCACTCTGTGTAGAGCTTTATCAAGTCATCTTTCACTCTGTGTAGAGCTTTATCAAGACATCTTTCACTCTGTGTAGAGCTTTATCAAGTCATCTTTCACTCTGTGTAGAGTTTTATCAAGACATCTTTCACTCTGTGTAGAGCTTTATCAAGTCATGTTTCACTCTGTGCAGAGCTTTATCAAGTCATGTTTCACTCTGTGTAGAGCTTTATCAAGACATCTTTCACTCTGTGTAGAGCTTTATCAAGTCATGTTTCACTCTGTGTAGAGCTTTATCATGTTTCACTCTGTGTAGAGCTTTATCAAGTCATGTTTCACTCTGTGTAGAGCTTTATCAAGTCATGTTTCACTCTGTGCAGAGCTTTATCAAGTCATGTTTCACTCTGTGTAGAGCTTTATCAAGACATCTTTCACTCTGTGTAGAGCTTTATCAAGTCATGTTTCACTCTGTGTAGAGCTTTATCAAGTCATGTTTCACTCTGTGTAGAGCTTTATCAAGTCATGTTTCACTCTGTGTAGAGCTTTATCAAGTCATGTTTCACTCTGTGCAGAGCTTTATCAAGTCATGTTTCACTCTGTGTAGAGCTTTATCAAAACATCTTTCACTCTGTGTAGAGCTTTATCAAGACATCTTTCACTCTGTGTAGAGCTTTATCAAGACATCTTTCACTCTGTGTAGAGCTTTATCAAGTCATGTTTCACTCTGTGTAGAGCTTTATCAAGTCATGTTTCACTCTGTGCAGAGCTTTATCAAGTCATGTTTCACTCTGTGTAGAGCTTTATCAAGTCATGTTTCACTCTGTGTAGAGCTTTATCAAGTTATGATTTGATGAAGGCACTGTGTAGGCGAAACGTGTTATTTACTACGCCTCCGTGTTTTGACTATAAAGTTCTACATATAGCGAAACGAGACATTATAAAGCTCAACAGAGAAGCCTGCCTTTATAAAGCTCAAGACAGGGACAAACCTTGATAGAACTCTACACAGAGTGAAACATAAACTGAGAAAACTCTGCACACACAGAGAAACATTACCTGATAAAGCTCAACAGAGTGAAACCTAACTTAATAAAGCTCTACACTGCATTGTATTGCATTTTTACTGATCAATAAAGATGTGTCTCATTCTTTAAGAAACACGACAGATTGATTTCGGAAAAAAAAAACACTTTATATTTAATATACAGTGGACCCTCGAATTTAGTCCTGCCTTTTCTGTATGCAAAACTATTTTTATTATTTATGAAATGT